CCGCCCGGGCACGTGCGGCCCAGCACCCCGGCCGAGGCCCCCGGACTCAGCGCCAGCAGCCACCCGGACACGGGGCCCCCCGCCGTGCCCAGATCGAGCCCAGCCTGCACCCTCCACTCCCTTCCCTCCTCGGCCACTCTGTAATCAGATCCCTAAATTTAGCAGCAGCCGTGGGCCCAGCCAGGGATCCCCGCCCCCACCCCGGCCGGCCGCCTGGCCGGGGTCCTGCGGTCAGGCCATGACCTGGCCGGGGACCGCCCATTCGTGGGGGCTCCTCGAGGGCGGGCCTGGCCAGTCAGGCACGACCCCACCCGGCTGCGGGTCCGTCGGGCCACAGAGGGCCACCCAGCCAGCGGCCACGTTGCCCGCCACACCTTGGGTCACTGCTCCAGGGCCTTTTTTCCTTCTCTATCAAGGGTTTGGGGGCACAAAACCCCGGGGTGAACAGGTCTGGACAAAGGAGGAGGCAACTGCATAGACCCAGAGGCATTCTGAGTGCAAGGAGGGGGGGGCGGTCTTCTCCAAGATGCAAAGCCTCTCCCCAGCCACCCCTCAGAGTGGCAGGGTGCCCCCCCCACACCGCCACCCCTCATCCATCCCCTTCTGCCTGGCTGGCAACCAGGACGCACCCCACCCACTTCAGTGATGGCGGTGGTCTTTCATCTTGTGGCTGGAGCCCATTAGGCAGGAGGACCTCGGCGGGGTCCCCCTCCCCCACTCGCTCCATCCATTCTTACACCTAGGATCCTGGGCTCAGTGAAGCACCCCTCCACCCCCACCCTAGACTTCAGCATCATGCTTATTTCTTAGCCTCCTTCCACCAGGGCTGCACAAGGGACCCCCCCCACCCCACACACACAGCAGTCACACACTCACTACCTAGTGGGGATTCCTCAGCTGCTGACCCCAGAACCCCAACCCCACCCTCCAGGACCTAATTCTGTTCTCAGTTCTCTCCCTGGAACCAAACACTGGGGCAAAAAGAAGATCCTGCTCTCTGGAGGTCAGGGGAAGGGAGAGGCTTCTCCCCTGGGTGGAGCGATCTCAGGACCTGGGTAAGGCTTCTGCAGAGGTGACACCCCCACACAAGAGGGCCATCACAGGGGTTGGAGGGTGCCCGTGGGGGGCCACAGGGTCTAGTCAGGAGATGCATTTTCCCCAAGCAACCTCCTCCTCTAGGGGCCAGGGTGCAGGGTTGGCAGGGAGGGGCAAAGCCCCACCCCTCCCACCTGCTTCACCCACCCCCTCCCCAGCTGGCCCCCTCTTTTGTGCGAAGGCACACAAAGGACAAGGGGCCCTGGCCGGCCTGGCCATCTGCTCCCAGCAGCCTGAAGGCTCTTAAAGAGACAGCACCCCCTCCCTGCTGCCCTGGGGCTGTGGGGTGCTTCAGTGTCACAGGACCTGCATCAAATCAGCACCCCAGATCTCACCCACCTTCCCCTAAATGCCCGTGCCCCCAGACCTGGACCTCAGCCCTCCTCAGGCCTGGGGGTGCAGAGGTGCCACGTGGCCTGCAGCATTAGGTGTGGGAGGGGAGAGGAGAGGCCGCCTGGGACCAGCCCCTCCCTCTCCTCCAGCCTATGGAAGCTTGGTGGCCAGCTGGAGAATGGAGGGGGGGTGCTTTGCCTCCCTGGGGCCACCTGGGAGCTTGGAGAGAGTGCGGGTCTCTAGGGAATGTCCTCCATTTTGACTGATGAGTTCTATTCATGCGCAGGGAGGGAGAATGACTGAAGGAGGGCGCCTGTGCATCCTCATCTTCCTTGGGCTTCAGTCCAAGCTGCCCGAGATCGAATCCCTGCCTTTATCCTCTGTCCTTCCAGATGAAGAAACTGAGGCTTGCGCTTGGCCCCACAAGCCTCTGCCTCAAAGCCTGTCTCCCTTGCCCCTGGCACTAAAGGTGCCCCCTTCCTCAGGTTCCCAGGATCACCAGTCTAGCCCCTCTGGGCGATTTGCCACACCACTCACAGACACCCATGCACTTGATTTGTATGCCTGTGCCACTGTGTTGGCGGCTGTGTTCCCTGGGCCTGGCATACAGCAAGCGCTCGGCATTTGCTGACAGCGTGACTGTCAGGAGGCTGAGCCCTCAGCTTTTCTCTTGGCTAGAGCTCTCAGCCCTGCTGGCCTTCCTCTGGTTCAAGGTGAGGCAGGGGTACAAAGATCGCCCTGGAATGGTGGGAAAGAAAAGGAGAGTGACCTTTGGTGAGCCTCAGGCCTTCCTCCTCCTCTTCCTCTCCCTCCTCCTCCCCCCTCCTCCTTCCCCTGAAATGGGGGGAGGGGTTCTAGCCAATCCAGAACCTGCCAGTCCTGCCACACAGACTGGGACTGTCCTGAGCAAAGCTGATCTTTGTGGGGTGGTGCCTGGGACCCCCAGTGACCACAGCCAAGGAGAGAGAGCTAGAAACCTGGGAGAGCAGTTAAGGGGTGATGTATGCTCCCCTAGACAGGAAAGGTGGCTGTAGAATGGAAGGAACTTGGGGGAGCTCCCTGAGGGCCCCCTCATGCTCCCCCTCTGCCCTCCCACCCACAGCCCCCCCTGCAGGCAGTGGGGCTCAGGGTGCTGCCCTACCAGTCCTTGTGCCCTGGTGAGCCCTGCCCTCCACTCAGCCCCTGCCCTCCACTCAGCTCTGCCAGCCTCCCAGTTGTGAAGAAAAAGGCTGAAAGGTGACAGAGGTGGCAATCCGGTGCTTGGCACCAGCTCAGCGCTGAGGCTAAAGGAATCTGCAGGGGGGGGGGGTGGCTCTGGGAATGGTGCTGGGGGAGCTGGGGGAGTCCAGGGCCAGGCAGCAAGCAAAAGGAGCCCCCAGGCTTCCTGACACCCCACCAGGCTAGTGGCCTGGAAATCTGACTCCTGAGCCAGGCAGGAATAGGGGGAGGAGAGGTCCAAAAGACCTCCCTTGATAGGAAGGCAATGGGGCCTCTCTGAATCTCTAAAAGGCAGCTTCAAGACCCAGACCCCCTTCCTTTCTCAGGAAGCTGGGAAGGGGGGGGGGGCCTCCTCCTCCCTCACCTGGGCAACAACGGCGCCCTCTAGTGGTGACCGCGCAGACTGCAGGGTCCCACCTTAGTCTGGACACATGTCCTTTTGAGTAAAGCTGAGCCTTCCTGGCACTCTGAAGTGATCAAGCTTTGGAGATGAATGCCTGAAATTTGCCCGATTCAATCCCAGGCCATTGGGATCACTGAGCCTTCAATCTGTCCCTAGCCCCCAGCTAAGACTTGTCCCTAGATTTACCAAGAACCTTCCAGAGCAAAGTTCCTGGTAGTCTAGAGACCATAGTGGAGACAAAGGCACAGCCTGGACTAAAGCAAGCCAGCAGCTTAGTTCTAGGGTGAGTCCTAGCTCTGTGCTCTGTGCTGTGTGGCTGCAGGTGAGTTCCTTGTTCCCCTCTGTGTCCCGGCACTGTGCTGCAGCC